TTCCAGGGTTTTTCAGTTGTATTTCTTCTTTCCCCTTTCACATAAAGGCTATGTAAAGGTTAAGGAAAACCCATCAGGGAGGGTGTCTAGCTCCATCTTGGGAAACATGGTGAACTAGCCAAGTTAAGATTTATCACAAAAGGTATAATGTGAATCTTTTATTTCTTTAAAAGTTGTGATGTTATCACCTTCAAAGTTTATAGTGAGTTGCTGTTATTTGTTTAGTTTATTAGTTTAATTATTTTAATAAAGGTAGATGTAAAAAAGAAGTTTAGTAGTCTGGGTCAAATCAAGGGAGAGATGTCTTACAGCACCTTGAACAGAGAAAGTTTTATATAAAGAATTATTAACTACAACAGGACATTGGAACAATGAGGGTTTTGCTAGTAAGAAGAGAACATGAATGAATACAATAAAACAGATATAAAGGCAGTTACTACCCAGAGCTGAGATAGAGAGTCCAAGGAATAGACCCCCCTCTGCCCTCCTACTCCACAGCTGAGATCTGAACCCTATGGGAAAACGCACAGCCCTAACTGGATGTCAGAGTCCCAGTGACCTAATTGTGATGGTACTGTGGGGGAATTTACTGGAAATCTGCCCTCAGGAACTGGCTAGAGTTCTGCCCTCCAGGGCTCTGGGAAAAGTTGAGGAGGTGTCACCCGTGAAGCAGTGCTACAAATCTGCCTGGAAGTGGTGATGGCGTCTGTATTGCTGCCATCTTTGTACTTCTGGAGGCTGGCTCTGGAGAAGCTATACACACTGCAGGAGCCGGCCAAGCGAGCACCTCAGAACCAGGAAGCAAAACCCTTTCTGCCTACAGCGTCTCTCCAGCAGCCTCTACTGACAAAGTTTGACACTGTGTAGCTGACAGTGGAAAATATTTAAGGGGCCCAGATCCATTCTCATAGAGCAAGCAAAATGGATGAATTTGGAGATAAGAGGTAATAATTTATCACGGGTACATAGGGATGGAGAATTCATGATTTGAAAATCTGTGTTAGGACTTAGTAAGAGTGATTGTCTTAATCTTATACAAAGCATTGGCTCAATTATTCAAACCATGGTATCAATGCACCAATGCCTCCTGGTGAGAGTAAATTGAAATTGCATTTCAAATCTTTGTGCCAGTTAGATCTTTTATAATTGAAATTGTAAAACAGAGGCTATAGGATTTTGGCAAAAATAAATTACATTTAAAAACCTGTTTCTAGTTAGAGGTACTTAGATGGCAACATAGATATTATTGTATAAATTTGAATATGATTTGATTTGATCCTGAAAAATTTATTTTAGTATTAGGGTGAGGAGTTCAAATGATAGCTCATCTAACAGCTCAGATGATTCAGGTTTAAGCCTCTCAGGTTGGCTTTAGGTTTGCAAAAGGTGTTAGATACATGGGTTCTAGAGTAAGCTCATGATCCTACTAATTGAGTGACTGCTGAGCAAGTGCAAAGGTCTGCAGGACTGAGGAGTATTATTAATGGACTTTCATTAAAAGTTGATGCCATGTATAACTTTCCCCTGGATTTATATAAATATAATTTTTTATACATGTTTAATTTATTTTTGCCTTCTCTGTGACATTTAGAATTTTATTTAAATTTAAGTATAGTTGAGGTTCATATGGCCCTTCTTTTCAATACGTCTGTGTCTTTGGGGTAAATACCCAGTAGTGCAACTGCTGGATCATAGGGTAGCTCTATTTTTAATTTTTTGAGGAACCTCCACACTGTTTTCCAAAGTGGCTGTGCCAACTGCCATTCCCACCAACAGTGTAAGAGGGTTCCCCTTTCTCCACAACCCCTCCAACATTTGTTGTTTCTTGCCCTGTCCATTTTTGCCATTCTAACTGGTGTAAGGTGGTATCTCAATGTGGTTTTGATTTGAATTTCCCTGATGGCTAATGATGATGAACATTTTTTCATGTGTCTGTTAGCCATTTGTATGTCTTCTTTGGAGAAGTGTCTGTTCATGTCTTCTGCCGATTTTTTAACTTGATTATTTGTTTTTTGGGTGTTGAGTTTGAGAAGTTCTTTATAGATCTCGGATACCAGCCCTTTCTCTGTAGTGTCATTTGCAAATATCTTCTCCCATTCTGTGGGTTGCCTCTTTGTTTTGTTGACTGTTTCCTTTGCTGTGCAGAAGCTTTTTATCTTGATGAAGTCCCAAAAGTTCACTTTTGCTTTTGTTTTACTAGCCGCTGGAGATGTATTTTGAAAGAAGTTGCTGTGGCTGATGTCGAAGAGGTTACTGCCTATGTTCTCCTCTAGGATTTTGGTGGATTCCTGTCTCACATTGAGGCCTTTCATCCATTTTGAGTTTATCTTTGTGTGTGGTGTTAGAGAATGGTCGAGTTTCATTCTTCTGTATATAGCTGTCCAATTTTCTCAGCACCATTTATTGAAGAGACTGTCTTTTTTCCATTGCATATTTTTTCCTGCTTTGTCGAAGATTAGTTGACCATAGGGTTGAGGGTCCATATCTGGGCTCTCTATTCTGTTCCATTGGTCTATATGTCTGTTTTTGTGCCAGTACCATGCCGTCTTGGTGTCACTGCTTTGTAATATAGCTTGAAATCGGGCAACGTGATGCCCCCAGCTTTGTTTTTCTTTTTCAACATTTCTTTGGCAATTTGGGGTCTTTTCTGATTCCATACAAATTTTAGGATTGTTTGTTCCAGCACTTTGAAAAATGTCATTGGAATTTTGATCGGGATAGCATCGAAGGTATAGATTGCTCTGGGTAGCATAGACATTTTAACAATGTTTATTCTTCCCATCCATGAGCATGGAATGTTTTTCCATCTTTTTGTGTCTTCTTCAATTTCTTCCATGAGTGTTCTATAGTTCCTAAAGTTTAGATCTTTTACCTCTTTGGTTAGGTTTATTCCGAGGTATCTTATGGTTTTTGGTGCTACTGTAAATGGAATCGTTTCTCTAATTTCTCTTTCTACAGTTGCATTGTTAGTGTATAAGAAAGCAACTGAAATTTCTGTGCATTGGTTTTGTATCCTGCCACATTACTGAATTGCTGTTTGAGTTCTAGTAATTTGGGGGTGGAGTCTTTTGGATTTTCCACATGAAATATCATGTCATCGGCAAAGAGAGAGAGTTTCACTTCTTCTTTGCCAATTTGAATACCTTTTATTTCTTTTTGTTGTCTGATTGCTGTTGCTAGGACTTGAAGGGCCATATGCATCCCAATGTTCATAGCAGCAAAGTCCACAATAGCCAAACTGTGGAAAGAGCTGAGATGCCCTTCAACAGATGAATGGATAAAGAAGATGTGGTCCATATCCATATCTACAATGGAATATTATTCAGCCATCAGAAAGGATGAATACCCAACTTTTACATCAACATGGATGGAACTGGAGGAGATTATGCTAAGTGAAATAAGTCAAGCGGAGAAGGTCAATTATCATATGGTTTCACTTATTTGTGGAACATAAGGAATAGCAGGGAGGACATTAGGAGAAGGAAGGGAAAAATGAAGGGGGTGGGAATTGGAGGGAGAGATGAACCATGAGAGACTGTGGACTCTGAGAAACAAACAGGGTTTTAGAGGGGAGGGGGATGGGTTAGCCCGGTGATGGGTATTAAGGAGGGCACGTACTGCATGGAGCACTGGGTGTTATATGAAAACAATGAATTGTGGATCACCACATCAAAAACTAATGATGTATTTTATGGTGACTAATGTGACATAATAAAAGAAAAGAAAAGAAAAGAAATTTAAGTATAGTTGATATACAATATTATATTTGTTTCAGGTATATAACGTAGTGACTCAACAACTGTATTCATAACAAAATGCTCACCATAGTAAGTGTAGTTATCATCTGTCACCAGAAAAAGTCATGATAGTATTATTGACTATGTTCCCTATGCTGTACTTTTCATCTTTGTGACTTATTTTGTAACTGGAAATTTGTACCTCTTAATACCCTTCACTTTTGACAATACATTTCTTTTGGAAATTCTTCTCTCCTTTGTTTCACATGGCCCTGTTTATTTTCCTCTTCTAGGCTCTGTTGTTGTTGTTATTGTTATTGTTGTTGTTCTGAAGCATTTAGAGGGTCAGTATTCCTGAGTTCCATCTTTGATGCTCTTTCTTATTCTGTATGTTTTTTCCAGGGAGGCAGTATAACATCACACTTAAAAGCACAGAGCTTCGAGTTAGAGAAATCTTGAATATTAGCTCTGCCAGTTCCTGCTTTGTGATCTTAGGTAACTTAATATCTCCAGTCTCAATGTCCTCAACTGTAAAAATGAGCTACCCTCTCTTACCTCCTAAAGTTGTTGAGATTTTGAAATGAGATATACGTAAAGCCTTTATCATAGTGCTTGGCACACAGAAAGTGCCAAATAAATAGTACTTTTGATGATCTATTTGTCTGGTTCAAATAATATGCTTATGATTCCAGATCTTTAGCTAAAGCTTCTCTATTGGGGCTCCAAATCTCTATATGTAGTCATCTATATCAGTGTCAAGTGCTGTTTGTGGTCTATTGTAAATCAGTGATGAGAATTACATTGGTATAAGAAGAACTGAAAAAAAAAAAAGACTTCAGTTGAGTTTTAAATTGAAGGCAAGTTACCTTAATTCAATAAATTGCCTTTTTTTAAAAAAGATTTTATTTATTTGAGAGAGAGAGAATGAGAGAGAGTGAGCACATGAGAGGAGGCAGGGTCAGAGGGAGAAGCAGACTCCCTGCTGAGCAGGAAGCCCGATGCGGGACTCGATCCCGGGACTCCAGGATCATGACCTGAGCCAAAGGCAGTTGCTTAACCAACTGAGCCACCCAGGCGCCCTCAATAAATTGCCTTTTGTATCAAGATTCACACCTTAATTTTTGGTGTTGAAATATCCTTTTATAAGAATGAAACGTCGATATAAGTAGATGATAGTTTTTTAAGGAAACATATCCTGACCTAGCAAAAGAAAGAATTGGCAGTCTGAAAGTGGTTCCTCATATTTATTTGAAAATTTTGCAGGTCTGTGAAACCTGAAAGGCCTGGGAGCCTCTGATCTGTTGGATAGCTTTACTTGAATAAACCGTGAGTGCCTCAAACTTGACACTATAAAAAGTATATTTATTATCTCCTTCTTTCCCTTCACGCACAACCCAACTCCTTTTTTTTCTATACTATAAAGGATGTTATAACTCTCCATCCCAGTTGATTGTAGGAAGTGAGTTATCCTCAAACCTCCCGGGTGCTATTACCCTTACGTTTAAGTGGTTGCTAAGTCCTCCAGTCTGTCTCTTGGTATTTCTTGATTCATACTCATTGCCACTGTCATTATTTTTTGTTGTTGTGATTGTTTTCTTCTCACGTCCAGACTCCTTTCATTCCACTTCATCCTCTCCTAAGCTGCCAGAATGATCTTTTGCTTCCCTGCCTAAAATCCCCCAAGATCTAGCTGTCTCCTTTGGGGCTAAATTTTTCAGTACAGACAGAAAGTCCCTCCCTTCGCATCTGCTACCCCTGCCTCACGTGGCTCCCTCATGTCTGCCATAATCAACTGCTTGCATCTCTGTTGTCTTGGAATCTTTGTAAATCCAGTTCTACCTGCTAGTCAATATCCTCTCCTCATCTAGACAATTCCAGTTAGCCCTTTAAGGTTCCATTCAAGTTTCTACCAATAAGACAGATATATGGAAACAGTATTTGGTGTGTTGGCACATTTTCATACCATTTACTTTCATTATTGAATAAAGGGGTATGGCTAAGGGTACCACTAGGGGATAGGCAGAGGGCATAGGAGGCGTGCTATTAACATAGCTACACATTCCCAGGCTCCAGCGCTGATCTGCAACCAGGACTGTTTGTAAATATGAAATGTGCCCTCTCCTTTTAGGTACGCAGGTATGTCTTCTGTGCTGTGTGTAGCAATAACCAGAAATATAAATTAAAAAAAAAGATTATCGGATGAGATCAGCTAATGCAACAGCTTGTCTTCTTGAGGAAAAGTTCTAAAAGTTTAATAATCATCCACTATTTTCTTATAGGATGGTTCTTGTTGTGAATTGTACCTCAAGACTCAGAGGGGACCCAGAGAAGTACCATTGCTTATCCTTAACTATGTCTTTCACCTCTGCTGTCTAGAGGGGGATCTCAGAGAGAAGAAACTCCCTTTCCTACTCAGGTAGGACAGTTGAGCTTCAGGAAAGGCTTATATTATCTAAGCCTGATCAAAGGCTTAGATATTTTTCTTTTATTTGAAAATTAACAAAATTAATTAAAAAATTAATTTGAAAAATAATGCTTCACATCATATATGTTCTTGATGGCATGAAAGTACTTTGCTACTGTTTCAGTTAGGATGCTAGGGCTACAATTAAATACCCAACTGAGCATTTGAGACATTTAATTCTCTTACATTGCAAAGTGTACTGGAAGAGGCAGTACATCTAGTTCATAAGCTCTGTGATGTCATCAAGGACCCACTTTCTTTTCACCTTTCTGTTCCTTGGCACATTTAATTTTTTTTTTTTTTTTTTGGCAGGTGAAACAATTTTATTTCACAGTTGTCTTTAAAACCACAAAGACACTGTGTTCTTCATATAAAAGCATTAGTACAGATACCTGTACTTTCTAGAAAATGATTATATAGACCCTCTCAAAGAAAATTCACACCATTATATGGTTTCAGACAAGTTGCTAGGGAAAAACACGTCTGTACTCATTCCTAAGTGTAGATTATTGTCATCAGTACATGTTCCTGCATTCTTACAGATTTGATAATAAACATATAGACTGGCTTGTAACTTAATGTTCCATCGGTTCATCAGCCTTTTCTGCAGGTTCATCAGCAGGTTGAGCAGGCTTTGCCTTTCTCTGTGGTCTTTCTTCAAGACCTTCCAGGAGTGGAGATACATCATCATCATCATAAATTGTAAACTCCAAGTCTTTACCAACAATTCCAATGGAAACATTCTTTGTAGTTAGGTCCTGTTCTGCAGGAGGTGTCTCTCGTAAGGCACACAGACCATGTTTAACCAGTTCATTCAAATTGCACTCCATAAACCCAGACATATGGCTCTTCAAGTAAGAACGAGCTGATTGAGAACGGGCTCCAATGGACATGGCTCTACAGTCAAAATAGTTGGCAGATGGACAGGTGTGGAAAATGTGAGGGCCCATATCATCATAACCAGCAATAAGCAGCCCAACACCATATGGTCTCCGGCCATATCATTGTGTTGGTATCTGGGTCTTGCTTCCAATTGGAGATACAAGACGAGACACAGGAAGAGATCTGTCAAATACAAATCTGGAATCCAAACACTCTTGGCGCATAAAATTACATAACAGTCTAGCATCAGCAGTACATCCCGCAATTGAGATACCAATATGGTTGTCAACATGGAGAATTTTTTTCTGGTTGAGCTGCAAGCTCTAATTGTGCTCTCTTCAATGCAACCAACACTGCATGTGTTTTCAGACCAACTGTGGCTGAGCCTTGCTCGACAGCTTCCATTGCATACTCAATTTGATGAATCCTGTCCTGAGGGCTCCAAACAGTGACATCATTGTCATCCTGGTTGCGAAACATGGTTCCGGCGCAGGTCTGGCTGCGGCCTCCTGCAGAGGTGCGGGTTCAGGAAGGTTCAACAGCACATTTAATTTTTGTCCTTTTTTTTGCATCATGTGGCAAGATGGTTGCTGAAGTTCTAAGCGTCACTATGACATGGCATCATCCCAAATAGGGAGGAATCAAGAGGAGACATTAAAGTCATGATCGATAAGACTAGCCATAATCCAGTCCTTGGAACTGGGCATATTGCCAGCCCCAAAACAAGTGGGTTTTGTTAGCAAGGAAAAAGGGAGAGAATGGCTATGGGGTAAGCAACTAATATTGTCTGCTACATGTAATCATTCCTTTTTAACCATGTGAAATATAACAGTGTTGCATAAAGGCTTTAGCTTGGGTTTTACTTCTCCTATGTCTGTATCCAGACCAATTTTATTTCTTCTCCCTTGTTCCCCCTTGACTTTCCACAATTTAACCTTTCCTTCTCCTGGCACCTCCCCATCACCACCCAGTGGATTTAAGGAAGTCCTACTATTATTTACTACTATGTGTTAGGTTGAACAATGTGAACTTGCCAATATTAACATATTTTTCCCACAGAAATTTCACAATTTACCCAAATAATTTGGACAAATGGAAAGTAAATGATAACTATGGAAAGTAAGTATATAAAAGTTGCTTAAAGCCACCAGAGAATATTTCAAATGATGAAAACAAATCTAGTTTGCAACTTAAAAACCAGTGATAATTTACATTAGACATCTTCATTTGGAAAAGAGAAAAAAAAAGCCACCTGCTAATAACATTGAATCACATTCCTAGTGATTGACAATGGTGGACAAGATGTCCATTTTTATTTCTTAAATTTGATTAAGGTAATCCAGTTATATCCTACAGAGAGGGAAAAAAAAGGCATTATCTTATGACTTTCTTGTATAGTATGAACTATTTACCTTACACCTTCCTCTATCCCAGCTGGGTATATCACAATGTCTGCACTAATATTGAAAAAGGAATGGAACTCAATAGAGAAGAATTAATCTTCCTACAGTAGGACACTTAAAATTAAAAAAAGATGAGTGGAAAAAGCCAGCACAGACGGGAAAGATAAGTGTCTCAAACACTCGAACATGGAGAAGATCCAGCACTTCGCAGGAAGCCATAGCTAGACTTTGTAACAGGAGAGGAAGTTATCTGGAAAATGGCATTTCTCACACACCAGCTGTAAGTCAATCTCCTGGGTAACAGTATCAAGTTAAACAACCCTCGTAGGTCTCTCATGTCTATGAATGTAATAAGATTCCAGCAACAGAATCATTCTTTTGTTCAGTGGTTTCCCAGTTGCTACTCACATCCTGCTAAAGTCGTCTTCTTCTCCAAAGTGTTGTCCACCAAGTTTCATGTGCTTAGTTCCATATGTCCTTTTGGCTCTTTATGGGTCTCAACGCAGAATAATTACAAATATACCTTAATAACTGAGAAGTTTAATATTAGTAGTTTACCAACAAAAGGTCTATCATTTTTTGGAAATTTTATGCCTTTTTGTAAAACTAATAGGTCAATAGTATCAGACGTCGCCTGGAGGTATAGCCAAATAAAAAATAAAGCTGCACTGTGATCATTAAAATGTAGGCCACTTAACAGCAGGACAGGGACAGTGTGAGAGTTTTTGAGGAATTAAGAAATGAGAACAAATAAGGAGAACTTAATATAAATACGTGAATGACAAAAAAAAAGGAAATGATTGTTAGGAAATAAGGGCGCAGAAACACACAAGACAACAGCAAAGTGAGAGAAAAGATTTGTTCTAGTTGGGAAAATGTGGATTACAGTTCTGGCTTCACCAACTAATCATGTAATTTTGAGTAAGTCACTTAATCTTTTTAAAAACAGCTTCATTGAAATATAATGCCATTCCATGCCATTCACCCATTTAAAGTATAATATTCAATGCTTTATAGTATATTCACAGATTTGTACAACAATTACCACAATCTAATTGTAGAGGTTTTTATTACCTCCAAAAAATTTCATACTCATTAGTGGTATTTTCTCTTCCCTCCACTTTGGTAACCACTAAGCTACTTCTGTTTCTGTAGATTTGCCTCTTCTGGATATTTCATATAAATTTCACTTAGGTAATGATTTCAAGGTGCATCTGTGTTGTAGCATATATCAGTTCTTTATTTTTATTGCTGATTTTCTTGTCACACTTTATAATTAAAAAAAAACAAATAGCAATTTCCCTATTAGGTTACTTCTGTGAACTTTTTTTTTTTTTTGAGTTAATTATCCTTGAAAGAAAAATAGTCGTCCCTTATCTGGGAATGACTAAGATCATTGCAATTTACTTTCATGAAGCAGAAGTAAAAACTGAGAAACAGATAAATATCTGTATTTTCTGAAAAGTAGAGAAACTTACCTTAGACCTTGTGATTCCAAGGACTCACTGCCAACTTTCACTTGTTTGTCATTAGTTCATTCATTCAACGGGTGTTGAGACTTCCATGTGTAAAGAACTATGTGTTCCTTTATTGCCCCCAAGAAGGGATATGTAGGTAACTAAGATATAACTAGTTCTTATCATCCTTATCAGAACCACCAGTCCTAGGAACAAAATCACTTCATCTGACACCTGCTAAGGTGTGCCATCACAGAACTGAAGGGAGAAAGAAGAGAGAGCCAAAGGGTTGGTAGGCATAATTTTCTTAGGTCTTATGGACATTGGAGTCCATTTGCTCAGACACTTACTGGAAATATAAAATCCTTCGAATTAGTTAAAGTTATCTCAGGTAGTGTCCTTATTGTTTTTATAATACAAACAAATAGGAAATCTTCATGGACTGGGCGAAAGCTGTGAGTTTTGGGGGTTGTGGAAAACTAGAAGATGTATGTGCTGGCAGACAAGTAAACAGCCAGAGGACACAGTGTCTGAGGTCTTAATAAGAAAATTGGCAATGGGAAGCTTATCTGGAACAAAGATTTCCTCTGGGTAGGAGACCTTTGCCTCCACTCACCCACTTTGTGTAATGTTCTTATTCTAGACCAGTATTAAATAAAATAACATATTGGGCATTTGGATTCTTAAGATCATTCTTTTATTTTATATACCATTGAGTGGGTAGTTCTAGAATCTAATATTAAGTTCAGTGTCTCAAATTTAAAAGATAGGTAGAGACCCTAGAAAGAGCTCAAAGGAATACTTTAAAGAGAAATTTAGGGCTTGTAAGTAAAAATTTAAAAAGGAAGACCCTAAAAAGAAAACATCATGCTATTATTGGCCATGAGGAAGAGTTGGATATTTATTTCATAAAAATGAAAGAATGGTTGCTCTTTATGGGTCTCAACACAGAATAATTACAAATATACCTTAATAACTGAGAAGTTTAATACTAGTAGTTTACCAACAAAAGGCCTATCATTTTTTGGCAATTTTATGCCTTTTTGTATAAAGCCAAAAAAGTTGACCAGATTGATTCAAGTTGTGAGGGGAAAAAAGCTAATTGGGTGAAGGTATATATTCTGTACCTACTCTGGTGAAATTTACCCAAGAAAAGGGAGAGAAAGGGACAAATCTCTGGTTACAGAATAAAATTACAATACTGTGAAGA